CAGTACTTCATCAGCTTTTTGAAACATTTCAATTGGTATTTCATCAATTTCTGGAACCTTGTTTTTGGCTAATATTTTCAGTTCAGCTTGAACCTCTTCCTTTGGCCCTGTTGGTTTGCTAATATACTACTTCCTGAATTGTTTGAAAGCTAACTGGTTCTTTTTGGTGCAGTGACTCTGTGTTCTTTCCATCTTCTTTTGATGCTTCCAGCATCATTCAATAGTTTGCCCATAGAATATTTCAACATTACAACTCAAGGCTTTACTGTTTTGAGTTCTTTCAGTTTAAGATATGCTGAGTGTTTGCTTATTTTTTGGTTTTCTTACTCCAGGTTTTTGTTCCTTCCAAACTAAGGACAGACTATGAAGAAGAGATGGGCTGCCCACTTTGAGGGAAGTAGCAGCTGAAAACCTTATGCATGTATTCTCACCTTAGAAAGCATTTTCTCTCATGTCACTAGTCTTTCTTGGTTTACACTGTTGTTATATTATCTGAAATTCTATCTCTAGGGATGTTTTGTTTTTCTCTTTGAGGTGGTCTTTGCCTCTCCTGGGCCTTTCCCTCTCATAATGAAGTTGGTAATCCGTTTGTCCATTTCTTTCAAGAATGGTCCTGGAACTTGGACTGGGATTACATTGAATTGGTAGATTGTTTAAGGTAGTGACATTTTCAAAATATTGAGTCTTCTGATCCATGTACATGGAAGATTCTTTCATTTGTGTGGATACCTTTTGGTTTCCTTTCATAATGTTCTGTAGTTTTCTTCATCCAGGTCTTTTTTTGTTTGTTTGTTAGATTTATTCCTTGGTATTTCAGCCTGTTTACAGTAATTCTATTGTCGACACTTTAGGATTCTCAATAAATAAAATCATATCATCTGCCAACAGAGAAAGTTTCACTTCTTTACCAAATTGAACTCCCTTGATGTATTTTTGGGGGGTTTAATTAGTGTTCACTCTTTTTCCTGAATGGTTATCATCTCCTCCTTTGTGATATTGGGGACATTTTCTTCCAAGAATTGCTTTACTATTTTAACTGTAGGCTTATTCCTTTCTTCCTGTTCAGGCACCCCAACATTTGAATATTGTTTCACTTCATGGTATCCCATACTATCCTCAGATTCTTTTGCTTTTTAGTTTGATTGCTTCTTTTGTTTGCTGAATTCTGCTTGGTTATCTTCGAGTCTACTGATTCGATTTTCCATTTCTTCTATTCTATTGTTAAATCTTTCACCTTGTTCCTTAATTTTGCTATGTCATTCCTTAACTATTGGATTTCCCTTGTGAGGATTCTAATATCTCCATCTTTTCATCTGTTTTCAGAATTGATCCTCTAATTTCTTATAAGGTCCTAGGCATTGGTTTTTTAAAATTCTTTATCTGGCAATTCAAGGACTTCTCTGTATAATCCATTGGGTTTAGATAGTCTTCAGCAATTGACTTTTGTTTCCCTTGATTTTTTGTGGTAGCTGCTGGTGTTGGCTGTTGTTTATGCCACATAGTGGCATAGACTTCTGGAATATGTAGAACGGGGGCTGGCTGCCTTTTAGGTTAGGGGTGGATCAGATAGGTGCTGGAAAAGGTACAAATTATGAATCCTTTTAGAGAGCATGCCTAACAGTAAAAATGTTGAGACCTGACATTTTAGGGATAGGCCATTTTTATCTCTACTTTTATTAAAGAAAGATCTGAGAGCCTTCTTTTTCCTGCAACTGTCCTAACTTCCTGTTTTAGCAATGTACTGGACATGCTATACGCCACTGAACACCATCTGTTTTTAGCTTCTATCAAGAAGGGAATGCCACTTAAAGATCATTTGGAATTTGTCTGATTGATGATGATTTGGTGCAGAGCAGTTCTAAAGATAATGCCAGGATTGTTCGGTCCATTACCAGCAGCTTATTTCATCATTGTTGATTTTCAGTTGTTGCCTCATACCTTGTATGGTAGTTTCTGTATCCAAGACTAAGCTAAGAAGAACCATTATGTTCCTATGCTCTGGAGATGCTTGAATACAGTCTTTTTTTAAAATAATAATATTTGACTCATGCAGGAGCCTGTGTTCTGCAGGTGTAATATTTGATGCATATGAGAACTATACTGAGGTTGTCAAGGATTTCATTTTACTTGAATTCTCTTGTTGTCATCCATGGAAGCAGGAAAGGATAGGAAATAAGGAGGATGGGCAATGGTAAACACAGGAAGGAAGCGGAAAGGGCACAGTTACATTGTGAGGATTGCAATCATTATCCAAAAACAAAATGCATATGAACCATTGAATGGGAAGCCAATTTACCCTAGTAAGTCACTCAAAGCACAATTTAGCGAGAGAGTGTGTATATAGGCTGGGTTGTCTAGAGATACAAAACCAGTGATACTCATATATGTATAAAAAATAGCTTGATATCAAGAAGTAGTTTTATATAAAGAGGAGTCCCAGTCAGTCCAACTCAAGTCTATGGATCTTATACCATCTGGATTCCCCTTCAAACTCTTGGGGTTGCAGGCCAGTGGCACAGAAAGAAGATATGGACAGCTCTCTGAGTCAACTGCCCACATAGAGCCACCTATGGACACAGGCATAGTGTCCCAGCAAGGACAAAGGCAAAAGAGAAGAGAGGAAGAGAATCTTCACTGTATCTTTTATAGAAAACCTATCCCCAACGGTGGCATCATCAGATTGTGATCTGGTTGATAGGTGGGAATCTACCCCTACACTTTCACACAGGTTCATGTTGGCATAAAATTTAACTGCATGAAAGAGAGAGAGAGAGAGAGGGAGAGAGAGAGAGAGAGCGCGCGAGAGCGAGAATTTGAGAGAGAGCGAGAATTTGAGAGAGAGCAAAAGTATCTAACAAGGGGCTCATGCAGAAGAAAGAAAGAGGAAGGGTGGGGGTGGGAATGGAGAGAGAGAAGGAAGGAAAGGAAGAAAGCAGATGACCTCGAATTGGGGAAATATACTGCATAAGATCACTTTAAGTGTTAAAAAGCAAACATGTTACCTTAAGGACTAAGGTGCACCTGACATAAGCCAAGCCATAGTATTTCCAATAGCTTCACATTGCATATGAAAGCCGGATAAGGAGTGAATGAAAACGACTGCGGAAGACTGCCTCTGAGTTATGGTGTTGGTAAATGATATTGAGTACACCACGGGCAAAGAAGACAAAGAAACCAATCTGTCTTGGCATGAAAACAGAAGTTTCTTAGAATTGAGAATGGTGAGACTTGTCTTGGCTACTTTGGACATCTACTTAGGAGGGATCAATCTCTGGATAGGAGGTCATGCTTGATAGAGTAGATTGCCAGTGAGCGGAGAGAGGAACACCCTTAAGGAGACGAACTGACACACTAGCAGTGGGCTCAAATATAGCAACAACCTTGAAAACAACTGTGACGATGGTGCAGGATCCAGCAGTATTTCGTCGTTACAAGGGTCGCTATTAGTCAGAACCAGCTTGATGACAGTGAACAAGAACAATGATCATTGTAAGAGAATAGAACCAAGATGTCACAAACGAAGAAGTGGTTCTTATCAATATTAAATCACACCTGTAAATGAAAAAGAAAACAAAAACTTCAATCTGCGTTGTTCAAAAGATCTGTATTTCTATCTTGCATTTGCCTGATAGGAGTTCCTGGGCTGCTAAGTGGATAATGTGTTTGGTTGCAACGGAGAGCTTGGACATTGGAGTTGACCCACAGGGACTTTGACAGAAAGGCCTAGCAATATATTTCCAAAAACCCAGCCACTGACAACTGTAGGGAGCACAATTCTATTCCGATGCTCATTGGATTGCCATGAGTTAGAATAGACTGAACAGCAATTAGTTTTTGTTCTCTCCCCTTTCATGAATTTGCCTGATCCTGAATCAGCATTGCTTTTTATGATTATAAGGGAGTTTTCAAAAATCATTTTATTGGGGGCTTGTACAATTCTTATCACAATCCATACATCCATCCATTATGTCAAGCACATTTGTAAATTTGTTGGCATTATCATTCTCAAAACATTTGACTTCTACTTGAGCCCTTAATATTGGCTCCTCATTTCCCCCCTCCCTCCCCACTCCCCGCTCCCTCATGAACCCTTCATAATTCGTAAATTATTATTATTTTGTCATATGTTATGCTGTCCGATGTCTCCCCTTTCCCACTTCTCTGTTGTCCATCCCCCAGGGAGGAGGTTACACGTAGATTCTTGTAATCGGTTTCCCCTTTCCACCCCATATTCCCTCCACCCTCCAGACATCACCACGCTCACCACTGGTCCTGAAGGGATCATCTGTCCTGGATTCCCTGTGTTTCCAGGTCCTATCTGTACCAATGCACACCCTCTGGTCTAGCCAGATTTGTAAGGTAGAATGGGGATCATGATAGTAGTGGGGAGGAAGCATTTAAGAACTAGAGGAAAGTTGTATGTTTCATTGTTGTTACCTTGCACCCTGACTGGCTCATCTCCTCCCCACAGTCCCTCAGTAAGGGGGAGTCCAGTTGTCTACAGATGGGCTTTGAGTCTCCACTCTGCACTCACCCTCATTTACAATGATATGATTTTTTTTCACCTCTCTTTTTTATGCTCAAGAAACCTTGGAGTATTGTAGATTAGGCAGTGGGCTGCTACTGAATGGGTGGGAGAAAGATGAGGGTGTCTGTCTGCTTCCATAAAGATTAAGCACCCTATTGGAATCAACTCGATGGCAGAGGTTTTTAGTCTTTTAAACATTATGTATATTTATATATACGTACTCAAGGCCTAGAGTATATAATCTTAGAATCTTTTCTGAATGATACCACAGAAATTTCCTAAGGATGATACCTATATGCGTTACTGTTAATACATTTTCTCAGTTTTAAAAAGAGAACCTATGAAAAAAATTTTTTTAATTAAAAACATTTTTTTTGAGAACCTATGAAATTTAAAAAGAAAAAACGGCTATTTGTTATCTTATACTTCGTAGTATGTGTTATAATTGAATCCTTTTTTTTTTCTCTTGTAGATATTAGATCAGTCATGCACTGAAATCCTGGAATTGCGACCATCAACTGTCTGTGTGGGGGGTAAGTATTTGGAATATAAAAATACCATGAAAGAAATTGTGTACTTTTTTTGTAGTTGAAATATATAGTTTGAAGTTCACGTTGTAAAGCAAAAAGCAAAATTAACTTTTTTTGGCATCTTTTTCTGTAAGAATTTTAAAATAATTCCTTGAAATACTTCTATTTTAAATTCAAGATTTTTTTTTAAAGTAAGATTGGAGTGTTATGTTACATGATCATATTGTGTGGCAGGCTTTTAGAATCTTTTGTATACTTCATACACGATCGAGACCTTTCCTATGGCAAGCACAATCCAATATCAGGTGTTTCCTTTGATCTGACTATACAAAGAGTCATGTATCTCTGGACTTTGAACTCTGTGCTTTCATGACTTGGCCACTGTCCACTGTCTGCCAGCTCAGGGCAGAAGGAAGTGACTTCCTGGTCTCTGGCAGGAAGGAAGCAGGTGGCTTCATTGGCTGTGCGGGGCTACAGCTATCCTTACCCAAAGACAGTGCGGCTCTCTCGGGCCTGTTTTATTTCTTCTACAATTATAACCTGGAGTTCTTCTTTTTTTTTTTTTTTACTTTACAGATATTTTTATTTCCATAGTAATTTTTCTTTTCATTTTTAAAAAACAAATCATTTTATTGTGGGCTTTTACAGCTCTTATAACAATCCATGCATCAATTGTATCAAGCACATTTGCACAACTGCTGCTATCATCATTTTCTTTTCTTTTTTTTTGCCATTGTCATTTTCTTTTCTTTTCTTTTTTAAACATTTTATTAGGGGCTCATACAATTGTTATCACAATCCATACACACATCAGTTGTGTAAAGCGCATTTGTACATCATTCTCAAAACATTTTCTCTTCACTTAAACCCCCGGCATTAGGTCCTCATTTTTCCCCTCCCTCCCTGCTCCCCCCTCCCTCATGAGCCCTTGATAGTTTATAAATTGGTATTTTGTCATGTCTTGCCCTGTCCGACGTCTCTCTTCACCTAATTTAACTTTACTTAGAAAAGGAAATTATTGAGTCTGTTAGAGGATTGCTATGGGTCAGCGGCAGTTGGCTTGGTTTTCATTTTGGATGGATGACATGTCTGCTGTATGTGAGACAAAATCTCCCGCTCTTCCTCCTGGTGGTTCTGAACCTCCGACATTATGATTAGCAGCGAACAGCTTATGCTGTAACACCAAGACATGTCATTTGCTGGAGAAAGACATCATGCTTTATCAAGCTGAGGATCCATCAAAAAGAAGGAGACCCTCACCAAGTCGGATTGACACAGTGTAAACAGGGGTCTCAAACACAGTGACAGTTGTGAGGACGGAGCAGGCCCGACTGGGCAGTGTCTCAGATAGGGTTACCAAGAGTCAGAACCCAGGTGACAGCACCTAACAGCAGCAGCAGCAACAAAATAATGTTGAATATTTTGCAAATATTTTGTTGCAAAAATAGCAACAAAATAATGACAGGAGCATCTAGCAGCTAAGCACCAAGAATTTAGTTACCTATCAAGATATGCTATCAGTTAGCGCTTCTATAGCAACATTTTTACACTCTAGTGATTTCCATATCGATAGGGTACAATAAGTGAAATCGACTTCCTTTAGGGACTTTCCATAGGTTCTTATCAGTCCAAAAGGCTTGACTTTTGATGCATTATAAATTTGTGTACAATAGTAAATAAAGCCTGAATTAGTAAACTTGAGTTTCTATTAAAGAGGAATTCTGTAATAGGAGCTACTGATTAAACAAACAAACAAACAAAAAAGCTTCAAGACTGGCTTCAGAATCAAAGAACAATAATAATTAATATTTCTTGTATTCTCTGTATTTCCTGTACCTTAAAGGTACAGGAAAATAAAATTTTTCCTGATAATATTTTTCAGAAGAGAGAGACTTTGGGGAGGTTGGTGTTTTATCTCGCCGAGCGTGACTGTTAACACGTCAGCTCTTATATTGTACTTGGTGTGGGAACATTGTACGATGAAAACATGAAATAACGCGTCTTTGCAAGGCAGCAGTTGGTAGTGCCGCTGCGTTTCCCTTGAGGATCTCAAAACCAAGGAGACTTAGATATGTCCTCCTTGAGATCATTTGGCTGAATAGTATGAACTCCAACTACCGGTAATTCTATGTACCTGGATACTTTATTTTCAACTTGTCTTTTTATTTTGAAAAAAAAGTGTATAAAATGTTTGCCTTTCCTTTTGCTTCCAGAGGAATTTAAGATGGTTTTGAATGGAAGAGGATTCATGTTGGGGAAACGAAATGGCAGTGTGCTTTGCACATATACTTTCAATGAAACATACAGAAGGAGTAGGTATTCCCATCATCTCAGTGTTACTTTACTGTCTGCACAACATTTCAAAACCAAATGTGTTGTTTGTCTCCCAACCAAAACTAGCTATACTATAAATGCTAATAAAAGAAAAAGAAATCAAGTACTGCAGACTACTATTATGATAGTAGTAGCAACTATGTAGTAGCTATTGAACAGTGGCAACATTGGTTCATAAATAATAAATGTTGGATCTTATGTAAATTGCCTCAAGGAGCTCTGGTGGCATAGTTGAGCTGCCAACCCCAAGGTTAGTTGTTTGAACCCACCAGCTTGCTCTGTGTGTGTAAAGATTTACAGCTTCGGAAATACAAAGGAGGCAGTTCTGCTCTGTCCTGGAGGATCTCTGTGAGTTAGAACTGACAGGAAGGCAGTGGGATTTTAAGTATGTCACTTCAGCTTACGCAGGGTGGTCAGTGACTCGGACTGTAAATGACGTGTCTAGTCACAAAGCTAGTATTGCTGTCCTGACTGCACTCTGCATAGACTGCCTGAGTTCATACCCTTTCCTTAGATTTATTTCTTGTTATTCTTGCCTTAAAATCTAAATCTCTCGGACAACATTGCTACTTACTGCCTATTTTACTGTCATTTGTTTTATCTGTCTTCCCAAGAAGGCTTTTTGCGATGTAGCTCATTTGTACCCAGCACAGTGTTTGTTGAAAACGATCATGCTTAGGGCTTGAGGTTTTCTTTTCCCTGCCTGCCCTGCCTTTCCAAAACTAAGATGACTGAAATATTTTTGTCCTCCTTTGGAGGAAACACTAGCTTCTGAAAGCACTGGTAGTTTAATGAACACATTGATTGTCCATGTAAACATGTGTTCCTGATGATTGATTACATTGATTGTCCATGTAAACACGTGTTCCTGATGATTGATTGTATTACATTCTGGGAGTTTATCCTGTAATGAATCTTTTATAGCTTTGTACAACTCTGGTGGTGTTATTTTTTGAGAGGTTTGTCTTCTATTTTAATGTTTATGTGATCATCCTAAAGTCTGCAGTTAGCAGTTTTGGGCACACAGAGTAAAAGTTCAATATGTATTTACTGAGTAGAAATGGTCGCAATCTCAATGTGGTGAATGTTGTAAATTCTCCTCCTTCCTTATTTAGATCATCATTGTGGTAAAGCAAACAATGCACATAGCAAAATCTTGTCATAATCTGTTCCACAATGGAAGAAAACAAAATTATTTTTATTCAATAGCTGTGATATAGATACAGCAGTGATCTGTATCTGAGTTATCGATATGTAACTATTCTAAATTTTGGTGACAATAAAGAGCATTTCAATGTGTGCATGTATAATTCATTGATGTGGACTGCATCCTTAGAGCTGGGCAAACTGAAGACGAATGTGTCATCAGGACGAGAGGTAGGCTTCTTATTATTAACAAGCTAAGATGGGCAGCTGAAACTACCTTGCCCGCTGCAAACGAGGAGGACTTGAAGCACTTGCTGAGGAAGATCAAGGGTTTCAATTTTTATTATGGATTACAAATCAAAGAAGAAGAAAATCCTCAAAATTGGACCAATAGGTAGCATCATGGTAGTTATATAATCATCTGTCAATTTGAGGATTAAGAATGTAGGTGTGGAGTCTAGCCTGTCAATCAGATCATAGCCAATGAGGCCTCTGTGTGGGCATGGCCTTCTCCTGAGAATTCTGGAAATCCGGTATTTCCTCCTTGGAGGCAGGAGAGACTCGCTATCACTACGCCACTCCCTGGGAGACATTTCAGGTGATAGGACACATGGAACTTCCTTTGTTCCCTGAGCCGGACAAGCCACTTGGATGCAACCAGACCTCTGAAACCCGAGAAACCACCTAGAGACCTCTGCCAGCTCTGAGATGCTTACAATGCCACTGGATGCAAAGACTTTCTACCCACTGGCATGTGATCATTCTGCATTTGGCATCATTGCATATGTTTCATGAGTCTGAAGAGGACTTTATAGATTGGTATCCGACATATGGGCTAATATCGAACTTATGACCTTGGACTGGACTGGGTTGGGATGTTTACTCAATGTTCAATTCCTCTTGTATATAAACCTCTTCCTTATACACATATGTGTCTCCATGAATTTGTTTTTCTAGTCTACCCAGACTAACACAGACATCATGATAAATGGAGAAAAGGTTGAAGTTCTTAGGGTTTTTGTTTTGCTTGGATCCACAATCTATTCTCATGGAAGCAGCAATCAAGAGATCAAAAGACATGTTGCATTAGGTAAATGTGCTGCACAAGACCTTTTTAGCGTACTGAAAAGCAAGGATGTTACTTGAAGGACTAAGGTGTGCCTGACCCAAACCCTGGTTTTCTCCATTGCCTCATATGCTTGTGAAAATTGACTATTGAATAAAGAATATGGAAGAAGAATTGATGCAGTTGAATTGGGGTGCTGGAGAAGAATATTAAAAGTACCATGGACTGCTAAAGAGACAAACTACTTTGACGAAATATGGTCAGAGGGCTCCTCACAGGCAAGAATGGTGAGACATTGTCTTACCTCTTTTGGGCATGTTGTCAGGAGAGACCAGTCCATGGAGAAGGACATCGTGTTTGGTAAAGTAGAGTGACAGCAAAGGAAGGGAAGGCTCTCAAGGAGATGGATTGGCATCGTGGCAGCAACAATAGGCTCAAGCCTGCGAGCACTTCTGCGGATGTCTCTGAACCGGGCAGTATATCATTCTCTTGTACATAGGGTTGCTGTGGGCCAAACTTGACTTGATTGCACCTTACAACAACTACATCATGAAATATATAATCTCTGACCGCAATCTACTTTATTTTCCTTTTTCTTTCAATTGGTATCTTTAAAATTTTTTTAATGCTTATGTGTCTAATTTTTCACACTTGAACTCTGAGTGCAGAATGCTCTTCATATGATTAGTAAACTGTGTAAGGTGCATTTATTAATTAAATTGTATTTTGTTTTGCAGGTGTAATACCTGTAAGCGTGCAAAAAAATTCTATGCTTTGTCCTGTACCTGCTTTGCACAAAGTTGGAGAGTAAGTACTTCACTGAAAATAATTGAAAACATTTTGCCTAAAAATTATTAGAAATTTTTGTAACATGTATCTTTTATTATATCTTATTTTGTTGCAAAGGCAAAACACTTTAGTTAGCATGTCCAATCCTAGTAGGTGGAAATTGGTGGTCTGTCTCATCTTGATTTTTAACTACTGCTTCAAAGATCTACAAATATCTATTCAGATGGGTTTGAGAACCATTATCAAAGTCTATAAATAAGTAGGGTCACAACCATTATTGTAGAGTATTGAACTTAGACACATACACATAATTCTAAAGTGAGTTTTTGATTAATGATTATAATATTTCATAAAGATTAATATGAAGTAACAATAGGAACATCAATATGACACACTCTACACTGGAAAACTTGTACATTTGTATCAATGAATGGTTTAATGTGTGTCCAATCCTATTAAATTCTATACTATCATTTGTGAAAAACAAGAACAGCTAAAAGTAGGAAATTCTGGCTTGGAAGAGGATTCTTATTTAAATCACTCACAGAATTAATTACACTATTATTTTAGTATTTTTGTTTGCCAATTTATCCACCGTCTCTTATGCAGGGAGTCCCTAAGTGACATAATCAGTTAAGTGTTCAACTACTACACGAAAGATGGGCAACTGGAACCCCCCAGGATGTACTTTGGAAGTTAGATCTAGTGATCTGCTTCCCAAAGGTCACACTACCTTGGAGATGAAATTAACTCCATGACAACTAACAACACTTAACCAGGAAATGATTAGAAAACATTTCAAAATATTACTTAGCCCAACAGCAGTGGATGCAAATGTTTGGGATAATGAAAAGAATACAGGTTCCTTTGTGTTGATCTTTTGCCTAGAATAGAGAAAAGATAAGATGTGTTAGGCCGGGTTGTTTAGAGAAACAAATCCGGTTACATCTATGGATAAGAAAGAGTTTTATATCAAGAAGTAATTGTACAGTAGGAAGGCATCCCAGCACAGTCCAACTGAAGTCTGTAAGTCCGATGCTGTCCATGAGTCCCTTCAGATTCATGTCGCCATGTGATGGTGATGTAAACCAAGAAAAAAATGATCGCAGGTCAGCAAGTACAGTCACGTGGATCCAAAGCTGGGGGAAACATAGCAGAGAACTGACAATCCTCAGAGTTCAGGAGCCCACGTGAGGCCTCTCCTAGAGGTAGATACATAGTCCCAGTGAAGTCCCAGGGAGGAAGAAGACCACGTGACAGGAAGACTATTCCCAGAGCCCTCACTTTTATACAAAAGGCCCCTACTACTTGGTTGATAGTTTTGATTCCACCTCTAGTCAGGAGTGTCTAGTTGACATAAAATGATCCAGTTACCACACAAGGCCACCATTCACTCAAAGTCTGGATAATGTTCAGGGAGTGATATTTGTATGTTTCTCCATGGAACTCAAAAGAATTATTTTAGGAGTTTTTAGTTGACGAGAATTTGACTTCTGTGGGTGCTTAAATAACTCAAGATACCTATTGACAACCGGTTTTTGTTATATTGATAGAAAGGATTTACCAAATACAGTTTTCAAAAGCAAGTCTATCTGGCTAAAAAGATATTTTCTCTATTATGTGATAATTTCGTATGATTGAGAACACACCTCCGGCTAAATTTGGATGGGTCTGGAACTTATGACTTAAGACAGGTCAAGTTTGTATGGAGCCATTTAAGATTATCGTAAGTGCTCAATGGAACTCACTACCTTCCAGAGTGGTCAGGTATTGGCCATGGAGAGTCAGTTGACTTCAAGTGTTGTGTTACTTTGGCAAATCTCTTACTTCATGTTGAACCTCTTGGTCATGTTGAACCCCAGGATGCACCCTGATCTATCTTCTCTTGGCAGCTACATCATTCTTGTTCAGCTGAAAGTCCTTTGTGTGAAAATGCATTTCATTCTTTACTTTACACTCAATCCATTAGCACATCTCCTTAACTCTAGTTTCAATACACTCAACCAGGTCACCTCTCCTCTCTACCTCCATGGTTACCATTATCTTATAAAAAGCACCTATTTTCTCGTGCTTAGATTATTAACTTCCCAACTAGTCTCTCTGTTTCTGCCCTTGACAGGTGTGTGATCACATTGAGACAGAACAGTTTCTATGCACTCCACTGCTTAAACTCATTTTATGAATTTCAAATAGAGGCTCAGAATAAAAGGCTGCAATGTTTTATAAGGTTCTAAAGGCTCTGTTCCCTTCTTACGGCTCAGACTTCATCATTGATGCCCTCCTCCTCACTGTGCTCGAAGACAGTGGCGTCTCTAACCACATCAGGCCACTCCACTTCCGCACTGTTGTATAGGACCCCTCTACTAGGAAGTGTCTCCCTGTCGTAGCTTCTTGTTCACAGGTCACACTCTCAGTAAGTCCGTTCCCACTTCCAGTCACTGGTTCAGAATGCAGTCTTCAGGCCCTCCATGCCCTTCCTGTTTGCTTTTGTTTTTTCCCCTCCAAAGCACTTATTACTGTGTCTCTTTCCTGAGACACAATTTTGTAAGTCTTGTTCTTTGCTGTATCCCTTAGCACATAGTAAATCCAGTAGTTTGTTAGATGAAAGGATTAATATTTAAGCAAGCTTATCAGCTAATATGCAAAACTGAATGGAAGCCTTTGACTGCTGGAGGTGGTTGCCTCTTTCAGTGAAGAGAAACTTGATTAGGATGCTATTCAAATGTTTGTGGATTTTTAAAAGGAGCCCAGCTTACATTCTTCGGTTCTATCCCAGGCATTGAATTTGTTTGCTCTAGAATTTTTCTTAGGACATACACTCATTTAGAATAGAATACTATAGAGATTGCTGATATACATTTCTGATTTGTTGAAAATCCTGGAGATGGAATTTAAAAAGTTACATATACTATCATAAAAAGCAGACATGAGAAGCTATCATTTGTTCCAGCAAGCTGAAAATGTTTTGGGAAGGAGACATGTCTGAGAGAATAGCTTTCTCTTTTCTTTTTGTGTTGTTTACTTGATACCACTGAAGGAAAGCTTGAGAAGATTTTATTTGCCATATTGGGCAATTGAGAACAACATCATTATTGATTTTACCTATTCTGTTACTAGTAATTTGGACCCTTCCTTTGCCTTGAATTTTCATTGGGTAGTTTTTTTAGATGAGCTGTCTTAAGAGATTGGATCAAAATCAACACAACTGAAATAGTCGAGCCTTGTAAGGTGACTGATTCTTAATATGTCCTCTTAATTAGCTTTTGGCTAAGGATTGAAACGCATTAAATAGCTAGTTAATCTATGTTTCAAATAAACACATCTGGTCAACAGTGAATGAAGGTTTTTCTTGTGTGAGGGTGACAGATGTGGCGATGGCTCCTCCTGTTCTCACACTTAAATAATTGACAACACACTGGTGAAGTAACCTTAGACAGACAGCCACAGAGCCAGATGCATCGTCCCTGAGCTGGATCCATGGGAATGGGCCTCGTCTCATTAGCTCGCTCTGTTGTTTCCTTTCTCATCCATAAGTGATTCCAGAATTTTATTATATTTTAGGATTATCATTTTTTTAAAACAAGACTTATGGATTTTGAGCTAAAAGAGGGTTAACATGAAGATATTTCCTTACAGGCTCTGATTAAGAATATAGCAGAAGACCCAATACCTGGGATACAGATCTGCATTTGGAAATTGATGTGATATAGTAAACAAAAACATATATTGGCAAACATTATGCGGAAGAAGAAAAAATGGATAAAATGATATTTAATAAATAAGAAAATATATGTGTGTGTGTGTGTGTGTGTGCGCATATACACCCAGAACTAGGGGAATCTCTGGTGGAAAGAAGGATTGAGTGATTGACTATTAACAAACAGGTGAGGATTTGAATCCTCCCAGAGGCACCTTTGCAGAAAGGCTTGGCGATTGACTACTGACCATCCTGTGGAGCACGCTTCTTCTCTGACCGCATCGGGCCACCATGAATCAATTCACTTGTTGGCAAAGAGTTTAGTTTTTATGTAGGATAAGACTAAAAGGAGTTCTTAATAGTCAAAATATTACAGTTATTCTTCTCGATGCCTTTCACTGGATATAACTTACTTAAAGAACAAAGCATGCCACACAAGCAACTTGTTTTACCAAGGAAAAATTCCACATTGTTTAGTTTGTTTATGCCAGTGACACATTTGCCACCAAAATGTCCTCTTTATTTCTGACAAGGAGGGACTTTTGAAATTCCTTTGATTCCTCTGTATCGCAGGGTAATAGCCTTACCATTAGCATGTAGATATCAGCTTTACTTGTGATATAGACTTATTCTTTGACCCTTGTTTTGTGAGGCATCCACAATAGTACAGCTGCTCCACAATAGTTGAGATCTCAAACCTGTAATTTGGCAGGAAGAACAGAGCAAATTGGGTAAATATACATAAACACATTGTGAAGAAAGAAAAACAGAACAGAATGAACCAGAGCTTTATCCTACAGCTTGTTTGATAGAGATGATTTAAGGAGGCATATGGTATAGTTAAATGTGCTTTCGAAAACATTGGCCAGAATCTTCTGGCAAATATGAAATAAATATCTAAATCAGATGAAACTGATAGTATTATTTCTCTTAGAAGGCAGTGTGGGAAGGCTCCTGACAGAGTGTTTTAAATAAGAAGTGTTGGGACATTAGTTCTGTGGAAAATTAAAAGCATCTGACATCGAAGGACCGTTGAGACAAACCGGGTGGCAGACTCGGTTGGGGGTAGAGCCTGCCTTAATAATAGGATCATTTGATTTCTGCCAACCTTATTTATTTAATTAAAAAATACTCAGCTTTGTCTATTTTGCCTAAATTAAAGCCGATTATTTTAATTTAGAGAAAATTAAAACTTTCCCAGTTGGAGAAATTCTGGATTTAGCACAGCTTCTCACATGAACACTTTTCAGCAACACACCGTGCTAGATATGTTTATTGTCTTAGTAGTATGTGATACTGTCACAATTTAAAATTCTTTCTC